TGGTCACCAAAAGATTATAATATATATATGGATAGTTATGGGTGGGCTATGTCATTGTAATTGCATACATTTTAAAAATTTATAATTTATTTTAATAAAATATTTAAAGGTGATAAAACCTTTAAAATTTTCTATTTAATAAAATATTATTCATACGATTCAACTAAAAAAAAAAAAATTAGAATGTGTCTATGCTGGGTTCTTTCTAAGCCGTTGAGGTGTTTCTGTGCAACTGTAAACGGATTTGATGTTTGCCATTAAATTTCATGCCACGTGGATTGATATTCATCGTTCACTAGTGGAGACCACACGTCATTCAAAAAGAAACGCCAGACAATCCGTGCCACCTCAAACCTTTTGTAGCCCTGAAGTGCCCTGTCCGTTCAAAATTGTGACTATCCCACTCAATCAAAATTCACGGATCTACTTAGATATTTAATCAAATATTAGGGGTATAAAGATATATATATATATATATATATATATATATATATATATATATTGAAAATAAAATTATAGATATAAAAATATATATATATATATTTATATTATAGTATTTAATTATCATAAAATATTTATATAAAATAAAATTTCAATAAAAATAACTTACTTATTAATTTTTAAAATTTTATTTTACAAATTTTACCTGTTCAATTCGATTTAGATCTTTGTCAAATAAAAAATATATATATACATTTTACTTAAAAAATATTTTTTAACAAAATTATTTTACCTTGAATAATTTTATGTCAATTATTTTATTTTATTTTATTTATATTTAATATTTGGAACTATGAAGGAAGATATGGTGTCAAACTCTTAAGATACTAAGACACACGTGTCATGTGACTTTTATCAATATTTGGGTGGCTTTACCCTGAAAAATCTAGTAAACCAACATTAGTAGCCTTCAATGTGGGGACGAAAAAAGTAGAAAAAGGAAAAAAAAGAAGATTATCATGTGATTGTTTATTGCCCATAAACGATGATACATACAGAACATCCTTGACGTGACCCATAAGTTCATATTGTACGTATATGCACCAGACAAAGCTTAAGCTCTCAATCATACATGTTGCTAATACCTGAACCCACTAGTCTCACCTTCTTCATCAAGTGTCGACAATCATTGTTGATTTTGATATAACGTTGAGGTGTTTATATATATATATATAAACACACACACATATAGAGAGAGATAGACTGCATCCTGTGCATTGATATATGTGTTCTGTTTGTGTAGTATGTGGTGAGAGGTGGTTGGTTTGGGCAGACAGATATTTTGCCAAGTGAAATCATGCTCTAAATTGAATGCATTCCCTCAAATTCAATAACGCAATACCCATGGATTTTAACTCGAATGCAAAAGATTAAACTATATGTACCTGAGAGATACAAAATGATTAAAAAGAAAAGGAAGCTCAAACAATAAGAAAGTTGAAGGATATAGAATCTCTTTCATATACAGTCAAATACTATCTTCATCGTCTGACATTAAGCTACTATCGGTTTTAATTATCTATGCTCTGTGTTTTTTTGCAACATTTGGTTTTGAATAGGGCAGAATTTTAATAGAACAAAAATTTCTTAAACTCCAACCCAGAAAGAAAAAAAAAACAGAAGATAAAATTGATAGTGACAAAACCGCAAAGCAATTACATAATTGTTGAGTGATAAGTGACCTCGGTACTTGGTGGACAGGTGGGTAGCGACTTTCACCGAACTCGTGGAGCGCATGGGGCAGAGAACTTAAATCAAACACGATTGATGATGTTTGAGCTGTCTATCAATTATTAGATCTCATGTCAACTTTGGAACTTAGAGAGAGAGTATTTAATAGATATACACGTGTGTATATGCATATACTTGGGGGGTAATATGAGTATTATCAAGAGTTTTGTGATTTATTGATATCTTATTTATCTTTTAGATGAATGGTAAGATTAGAGTTTGCAAAAAATCAAATTAAATGTGTGAATAATGTGTGTGCATTTTTTACTAATAAATAATAATAATAATAATAATAATATTATTATGCACATTAGCAAAGCAAGATTAAATAATTGTTAAAAGGTAGAGATGTGATAATTTGATACAATGTCAAATAATTATATTTTTCACATTGGAGTATCATTATAATTAAGTCTTTAATGTATGTTCATGGCTAAGATCAATTAGTTAATTTGAAAAACTATCATATTCATTTTTTATTTTTATTTTTGGCAAGACAATCTGGGGCTCTTGTAATAATAGCATGGCATAGTAGGATATTTGGTGGATGGTCCCCTCTCCTTTTCATTTGGTAATCATAATCTCCAATTTAGTATTCAATAATATGCGGACACTGCTTTTTGTCCTCTAAAACTTTTCATATTCTAGAACGCAAAAGTGATGTACATCAAATAAATAAAATTTGATTCGTCATGGTTTATTTTTTATTTTTTATTTTTATTTTCACTTAACTCACAATGATCTTTGAAAAAAAATCCTATTATTATTATTATACATATTTTTTATTTGAACTATATTATATATAATATTCAGATTGTGATTACTTTTTTATTTTCAAATTTCTTTGTTTAAAATTTGATTTATTTTATGCCGACATTGTAGATAATTGATTTCCTAATAATTTCTTTGTAATTTTTTAAAAAATTTGTATTATATATATATATATATATATATATATATATATATATAAGTTTTGTGCTTAGGAGTAATCAAACCTATAAATAACTAAAAAATACTTTAAAATTTTAATTTAGAGATTGGTCACATGGATAACCGGTTAACCTGACTTTCTAACTCAAAATTTCAACTCAAGTTTAAAAATTCAAGAATGATTTGGATTTGAGTTGAGTAATTAGGATTGGAGATGGAATTAAGATTGAACAATTCTTATGTTGGATTGGGCCTAAGTTGTACTTTCAACGTGCCCAAGTTGTAGCCCTATCACAATGATCTTGTGAAAAAAATAAAGGAATTTGACAATACCATTTATTTTGGATCCAAACATTTATGATATTGTTTTTCTGATATTGATCTTCATATTTGGGCTCATATCATATTTGAAATCGCTGATATTGGTTTGAAATAGTTTATAACTATGTATGGCAACGGAGCAGGTTTGAAGTGGGTTTTCCTAAATCCCTCCCTGCCCGGTTTAATTTTTGACAAGTCCATGCCCGCCCCGTGCCCCGTGACGGGTTAGATTTTCATGTCCATCCTCACCCCCGTTGGGAAATATTGTGCCCCATGCCCGCCTCGCCCTCTTCCACAATTTTCTTGATTGAATAGGCCGAACAAAAGAAGACAAATAATAGATCAATCCCTCTGCCTGAGAAGAATAGATCAGATAAATTATAAAATAAGAGATATATATATATATATATATATATATATATATATATATATATATAAGGGAGAAGAAGAACTGAAGAAGAATAGATCTACCTGCGTGAGTGTGTGACTCTCTCTGTCTTTCTTTGATGCGTCGCTCAGTTCACACATAAGGCTTAAGAAATTAGGGTTGTAAGAAATAGGTAACCGGGTAAACCGGTAAAATAAGTTATTAATATTATATATATATATATATATATATATATATATATATATATATACTTAGCGAGACGGGCGGGGTGGGGCCCCGACAGATATGTATAAGAACCCTTACCCGCGACGGGTACAAAATTTATATTCATATCCGTCTCAATGGTATAAAAGTTGTTCCCATATCCGTTATTAACGGGGTTGTAAAAATTGTCACCCCTATTTATAAAATATAAGATTTTTTTGGCCCAAATCCATATGACCAAATTAGTAGTATTATGTGTTTTGGTACGGTAGCCGCGAAATTAAAACAAATTTTCATTATCAAATATAGTTTTAATTATTACCCAAAATATTTCTATAATAAAATAATTATTTTGATATGGACAAAAAACATAACATTTAATATATCGTACGCGAAACAGACCTTAAGGAATTCTAAAAGCGGAGGGCCACTTCTTTTGAACTTTGAATAGTATGGTCTTATTTGCTCGGTTGAAACAAGATGTATGCAGCAAACAACATAGGAACACCACCCACCCCAAATTGGTGGTTGTTAAAGACAAATTGGAAATGAGCTTTTGCGAAAATGATAGGCATTGACACACTTAAAATTCCTTCCCCCACTTGCACAAGAGAGAAGTACTGGCTGATTCTAAACGTGATTCATATTTTGAATACTTGTTTTCCCTCTCTCTCTCTCTCTCTCTCTCTCTATATATATATATATATATATATATATATCTGAAAAATAAGATGAAAGAGGTATTTATTTATTTATTTATATTATTATTATTTTTATAGAAGAGATACTCTGGTATAGTTTTTGATTAGCGGAAGAAGGTATTATATAATTAAAAATTAATACATACAATGAGTAAAAGCTGGGACGGACCCAGACCATTAAGTGAAGGGGACAATAATAATATTTTTTAATAATTTTATGGGGAAAATAGTAATATTTTAGAGATATATAACTAAAAAAGAACAATTTAATAAAGTATATTAGTAAAAAAAAAAAAAAATTCAATCTATAAAAGGTAAGTTATCACATCATGATGGACTCATTAGGAATAAAATTGATAATTCATTAATCACTAATATAATTAAAAAATAATAAAAATCATTCACTTAAAAAATTATATTAAGAAGGAAAGAGGGAGTACAAATTTAGTTTTTGATATTTGACAATAGAAAATAATTATTCATATATGGAATATCCATCCTTACATTTATTAACTCAAATTTCTTTTCTTTTCTTTTCCCTAATTGTACCGAAAAATGCTACATCACATATTCACGGTTGGATTCAAATCTAAGAATTACGGAGTAATAACTTTCACAGATTGGGAATTTGTTAAAACAAATATCTCGACAACATTTTTTAGTCATTTAGCAAGTCAGGGACATTTTGGGCACCATATATATACAGTACACACACATATAATTTCTATCACATACATGTTCACATGATTCTCTTGCACTTTTGGTGAAGATCCCTTTCAGATGCTTTTTCTACGCTTGACTGTTTCTTTCAATCAAACCAATCACACACTTAATTCTTCGTTTCTCAATTTTTCTCTTCAGTCTGTTATTTAAATCCGTACTTTTCTCGACAAATTTGTAAGACAACGTGGTAAACTCAATCTGAAATTTCTAACAATTGCTCCGCCATTCATTGAACCATTCTCAGCAATTACTGAAACTTGAAAAAAAACACACACACACTCTCTCTGAAACCAAGAGCTCTCTCAGATTTTTTTTTTTTTTTTTTATTCATATTTTTGTGTTTCTGAAGGTTAGAGAGAGGGAGAGAAAAGTGGGAGAGAGAGATGGAGGCTGTTCTACAGACAAAAGGGCTTCTTTCTCTATCTCCAAATCCCAAAATCAGGGCTTTCAATCCACCGCAAGAGGGATTCAGGCATAGGTTCAACACCTTCAAACCTAAAACCCTTGGTGGGTTTTCTCTTTCTCTCAATGGTTTCCAAAAAATTCATGGGTTTGTCACAAAATCTCACGGGGTTGCCCCCAAAAATAGAACTTCACTTATCTGCAGGGCTGAGGCTGCAGCAGCTGCTGATTGGCAGCCACTATATAGAGAAGTGGAGTCACCCAAGTTTATGGGTATTGAGCTTGTCACTCTCAAGAAGATTGTTCCACTTGGATTGATGTTCTTTTGCATACTCTTCAATTACACAATTCTTAGGGACACCAAAGATGTTCTGGTTGTGACAGCTAAAGGGTCTAGTGCTGAGATTATACCATTCTTGAAAACCTGGGTGAATTTGCCCATGGCTGTTGGGTTTATGCTGTGGTACACAAAATTATCTAATGTGTTGTCAAAGCAGGCCCTCTTCTATACTGTTATTGTCCCCTTCATCGCCTTTTTCGGGGCCTTTGGGTTTGTCTTGTATCCTCTCAGCAACTATTTTCATCCTACAGCTCTTGCTGATAAGCTTCTAGCCACGCTCGGTCCGAGGTTCCTTGGTCCGCTTGCAATTATGAGGATCTGGAGTTTTTGTTTGTTCTATGTCATGGCTGAGCTTTGGGGAAGTGTGGTGATCTCTGTGCTCTTTTGGGGGTTTGCCAATCAGGTAATAATCTTGTCATCTAGAGTAAATTCTGGTTTTTGAATTAACATATGTCTGCTTGGTTTTTTATTCTTATGTTTTGAAATTATGTGATTTTGATTTTTCTATAAGAACATTGTTATTTGATTCTTTATTTCATTATGTTGAATTAATGGATTCGTAATGGTTTCTCTGCTTATTGATGGTCAGATACCTAAAGAAAATTTGCAATAGTACAAACTACAAAGAGAATTTGACGTTGATTGAATTTATGTTAATAATCGTATATTAATAAACATTTTGGCTGGTTCTGAATCCATTTCTATAAAAAAAAGTCTATGTCTATGTATGTATGTATGTGATGCACCGGGCATGCATGCACTTGACTGATGGCTGTGAAGAAGAGCCCTTGCTCCCGTTTCCCTTCATTTGGACACTGTGTTCCCCTTCTGTTGTGCAACATGGTAGCTTGATTGCTTGAGCATCGATCCCTGATTGGCAAATGCTTTCCTGCTGCTCCTGCTGTATATGTATGTGTATATGCATGTAATAAGACGGAAGAGCTCCCCTTGCTTTGTTGCACTCCCGGCTTCCGGAGCAGAATTTTTTACAGAAAATATGATATTTGGTTTTCATCTACCATTACTTCAACTCAGGTATATGTATTGGGTGTAAAAATGTGATTTGGATTTGTCAAATCTCTAGACCTATGGACATCGGACAAAGCTAAGTATTTATTTTATAGGGGATGTAGGGCCACTGCTTAATTATATAATAATAGGTTGGACTGACTAGTATGAAGATGTGTGCTTGAGTAGAACAATCACTTTATATAAATTAAACCAAAGGTCAGGTCTGTATGGTAAAATGGTGTTTTTTTATGAAACATATAGTGTTCAACACGGTGCTTCACTCGTTTTGAAGTAATTTTATATTAAAATAAATATAATTGGAGAGTTTTATGTATAATTATATAATAAAGTTGTACTATTGGATATACCTGTTAGGTACACAACTACACATCTAATACATATCTAATACCCCTGTCCAAGAGTTTGTGGTCTTTTATCATTCCGAAGAGCCATGTTATATATGTTGTATAATGAAGGAGGGAATAGTATCAGTAATGTTGTTAGCATATAAATGTCTAGACTTTCAGTCATAATTAGAAAATATGTGTCATAATGTTTTCTGCCATCAGCATAAATTTCATTACTGCAGTTCATGTAAATCGTCCAATTTCAGAAGACCTTGAAGTATTTATTTGTTAGTATTCTTTGAACTTATTGCAATATTTCTGACCCTCGCTGGGTCTTGGTAATCAGAATGGGAAAAATTGTGAGTTCTTTTGTATTTGCTTGGGCTACACTTTTTCCATGCTGATGTTATTTTAGGCAGTAGACAGATTCTTTTAGAATCTAGTTTTAAAAACACACTTCTCTGAAATTTTCCGTCAAATGAAGTGGTTGAGGCTGCAATTAACATTGTTGCATACTTTTTGCAGATAACAACTGTAGAAGAAGCCAAAAGATTCTACCCTCTGTTTGGGCTTGGCGCCAATGTTGCCCTTGTTTTCTCAGGTCGGACAGTGAAGTATTTCTCTAATCTGAGAAAGAATTTGGGTCCTGGAGTTGATGGTTGGGCTGTCTCCCTGAAAGCAATGATGAGCATTGTAGTGCTGATGGGGCTTGTAATCTGTTTTCTGTATTGGTGGGTGAATAAATTTGTTCCTCTTCCAACTCGTAGTATGAAGAAGAAGGTAATCATCAACATAGATACTTCTCTCTTCTTATTGTATTTCAACTATCTTGATTCTTGGCAACCCGAGTCTATCTATCTGGTGCAAAAACTTAAATTTTAATCACTTCCGTTTATCCCTTATTATGAGAAACATGGTAACCCATCTTCACATTAGGCAGTGGGATCCAAAATGTCATTAAATTGAATAGAGAATTGCTACTTCTAATATGAAAAAGGCTTGCACTCTATAGTTTTTTCTGCTGTTTACTGGTCATACTGGCTCAGACCCTGTTCTCCAAGTGCTTAAAATTAAGATAATACTTTTACCTTTTGTTGTTAAATGACTGCAACCTATCAAAGGAAAGGAAAGGAAAAGAAAAATTAACTGGAATATCCAAGATACTCTACAGGTCCAGTTTTTTTTTTTTTTTTTTTTCTCTATTAGGCAGTTGCATTTTGTAAAGTAATGATTTCCATAACAGAACACAATTCCCTTGGCAGGAGAAGCCGAAGATGGGGACAATGGAGAGCTTAAAATTCTTGGTGTCTTCGAGATACATTAGGGATCTTGCCACTTTGGTGGTAGCATATGGTATTAGCATCAACCTTGTTGAGGTTACGTGGAAATCAAAGCTCAAAGCTCAGGTAGCTAAATTAGTCATCTATTTCTCTCTCGTTTTTTTCGTTTTTCTACTTATTACTAACCCCAACTCCTCCCCCCCCCCCCCCCCCACCCCCCTCCTCTCTCTCAAAATTGTGCAGTTTCCTAGCCCAAATGAATACTCTTCCTTTATGGGTGATTTCTCAACTGCCACCGGAATAGCAACTTTTACAATGATGCTGTTAAGCCAATGGATATTTAACAAGTATGGTTGGGGAGTCGCTGCAAAGATCACACCCACTGTCCTGCTACTCACTGGAGTTGGCTTCTTTTCTCTGATTTTGTTTGGGGGCCCACTTGCACCTGCTATTGGGAACCTTGGGATGACTCCACTTCTAGCGGCTGTTTATGTGGGTGCAATGCAAAACATTTTCAGCAAGAGTGCCAAATACAGCTTGTTTGATCCTTGCAAGGAAATGGCATATATTCCTTTAGATGAAGACACCAAGGTTTGATTCTTTACTCTCCTGGGAAAAGAAAAAAAAAAAAAACTATTACTTACGATTCAAGATTTTAAATTTTCTTCTTGCCATCAATGTCAGTCATGCCTCTTGCCATCAATGTCAGTCATGCTAAAAATAAAACGCAATTTTGGAATGTCAAAATATATGACTGATGAAGCTTTATATTTGGTGAGGAATATAATATTTCTCCAAAGTTGCTTTAAAGCGAAAAGAACCATTGAGATAATGTCATTCTTCTAAAATCTAAACCACAATTTACTAAGTTACATTTCAAAGATAATTGTCTTTTCTTCACTTGAAACATAATTTCCCATTATATTGCCTTAGGTTAAAGGGAAGGCAGCCATTGATGTTGTCTGCAACCCATTGGGGAAGTCCGGCGGCGCTTTGATCCAGCAGTTCATGATCTTAACCTTTGGTTCACTTGCAAACTCAACTCCTTACCTTGGAGGGATACTTCTGGTAATTGTTCTTGCATGGTTAGCGGCGGCCAAGTCTTTGGATACCCAGTTCACTGCGTTGCGTCGGGAGGAAGAGCTTGAGAAGGAGATGGAAAGGGCAGCTGTGAAAGTCCCACTTGTAGCACAAAAAGAAACTGGAAATGGTTCTCTTGCCAGTGGGTTGGCACCAGACGACTCAGTCAGCAGTTCATCTGAAACCTCAACTCCCCGCAATATTTGACAATATCGTTCAATTAATTGCAAAAAAGGAAGATTAAGCAAAGATGACAATTCAATGTACCGTCAGGTGATTTGCTGGTTGAAGAATTTCTCTCTTTTTATAGAAGTAATCAGAACATGCTGCTTGTAGAATTTTACTCTTTTTATAGAAGTAATCAGAACATATTGGTTGTAGGGTTTTGTACTATTTATAGAAATAATCAGGACCAAGGCATATAGCCAACTTTCTAGTTTCTTCTAAAATATAGATGTGATGTGATGTGATGAGCTTATTCTGTATAATTCAAGTTCTTTTTTGTAGAACATGCATTGAATTTATATTTAATGTATTGGGAAACTTTCTTGTCAAGATGTGGATTGCCTACATGAAGATTAGCATCCCCATCTGTTCTCGATGGTTTAGCTAGAAAATTTGATTATTGTTAAATTGAGAGGGCATGTCGACCTTCAACATTTTAAATTTTGGTCGTTTATACTTTCATTTGATGCAATGATCTAGAGTCTTTGTCTACAGGCAACTAAAGATTGGCATGTCGATAATGGTGGTAAGTTCTTAGCAATTTCCATTCTTTTGAGATTGGATATTGTGGAGAGAACTAGAATTGGCGGCTAAGACAGTGAAGTGGCGAGTGGGTGCAAGTTGCACACCAACTAGTCACAACAATTCATTGGATCTATTCTTGCATTCCGTAGTTTGGAAGGGTATTCTAAAGGAGTTAAAAGGCTTAAGGTAAGGGATTCTATTTCACCCTACCTTTTTAAGTTTAGCTATGAATTTCTCTGCTTGACAATTAGGAAATTTACAGCTGGTTCTCATTTAAAATAGCATTGGAGGTGTAAGAAAACACAAGACCTCAGCCATTTATGATTTGCTGATGATGTTCTTTTGTTCTCTCATGGTTACTTCAATTCCATCACATTGCTTACTCAAGCTTATCTTCCCTTTGTCAGTCTACTGGTCTAACTCTTAATCCTTATATTTCTTTCAGCCGTTTCTGATTCAGAGCTTCAAAGTATTATTCTGCTACTAGATTCCCAATTAGGATTCCCTCATATTAAATATATCGGAGTCCTCAAAACTTAAAGCTTCTGGTAGATAGAATTACTAGTAAGATCATTCAGGGAAAAAAAAGAGGAAGAAAAAAATACAAGAAAGATCAAATCTTTGACTTCTAGGTACCTTTGTTATGCAGGAAGGTTGCAACTTATTGAATCAGAGTCCTTTTTGGTAACTTACTTCTTCCTGAAAGCAAATATTCTTTAAGTAGAATGGATCTTTGAAATATTTCTATGGTCTGGCAGTGAATTAGCTTCCTCAAAAGCTGAATTTGCAAATATTGATTTTGCTGTGGTTTGGTTTATGCTTGGTAGAGCTTTGTTGTGGCTTCCTTGCTCTCTCTAATGGATGACTGAGTTTGCTGATTGGTTTTGGTGGTCAATTAATTAATGAAATCCCATAATACAATTTATATGAAACACACACAATACAAGTAATTGATTACATCACATATAATATTAAAATATATGTATCCATGTATAATATGGGTTGCACACCACATGAATTGATGATGTTTTTGGGGGTGAGGCACACCACACGAACTGAGTGGTTATAAAATCACCCCGACCCAAGCTTTTGAGAAGAGGCACACTTGGACCACACTGTGGGACTATAAAACAAAAAGGAAATGAAAAGTTCACATGGTGTGCACGTACTACTGTGTGTTCAGATTACAAAATTTGGCAATATACATGTGCCTACATCACATTCCTTTTGAACAATTCTCAACTCATCTTCACCGCTTTGCGAGATTCTACTGGATTGATGCAACACTGTTAAATCGATAATATAATAGGAACGACATGTTTGAATATCGTTGGACTGTTATATCTTAATGTAAAATATTGCATTGTCAAAATAATGTGCTGTGTAAGATTTCCATGATATTGTATCTTATTGCAAAGAACCAATGCAATGCTCGAGTTCAGTAAAGGTATGGGTTTGATAGCCAATCAAATCTCTTAACCAAAAAAAAAAAAAAAAAAATTCTCTTAACCGAAGGGTTGGAATAGTTATAAAAGATTTGGGCTCTGATACCTTATGAAGTATTAGGTGATTCCTACTCGGCGCAAACAAGTCTTAGACTCTGTTTGGATACACATGATAGAAAAGAGAGGAGAAGATATTACGTATTTGTTATTAGAAAAAAGAAAAGAAAGGAAATGATGTAGGGGAGAAAAGAAAAGAAAAGATAACAATCAAATTATTATTATGCCCTTTAAATAGGTGGGATATGAGTGGAATAATAATTTTCTCATTTTAATTGTTGAGGGTAGTTTTGGAATTATAAAAGCACTTAAACACTATCATTTATCTCTTTATTAGTCTTTTATCTTATTTTTGTAGAGATAAGATATGAGATCCCTCCTTATCCCTTCATATATCATTTATTTTCTCTCATTTTAAACAACTCAAATGCAATCTACGCTATCCTTATTGACTTTTACCCTGATACCACTTTATTGGAAATAGTGACCTAGATACACACACCACTCAATAATATTTTGGAAGAGAATGATATGGAGGAATACTTGAAAAATTATTTTATTTCACTTCTATTATTTATAAAATTACTAGAGTATACGATTATATAGGCCTCACAAACATATGTATAACCATTACATTTAAATGCCTAATTACACTTACTATTCCCACTAACATAACCATTTAGCCTTAACTTTCACGACCCTTAGTTTTACATAAGTTTCACCATCACACTAATTCTCATTTACTAAATCTCATTAAGACAATTTATGTAATGACCCGAACCCGTGGGTCCAAATTGCTAACTGGGTCCTTACCCGAACCCGAAAACAACCGAGGGCAAAATGGTCAACTAAGCTGTGTAAATTAATTATATAACTCTAAATGAGTCTAAATAGGCCAACATAAGTCATTAGGGTCATTTGAACCCATAACACAAAGTCCCAGACATAAGAATGAGAATTTCACACAATTGCGCCCTTCATTTTTCAAGGAATTTCGGAGCAGTCCACACTAAAAAGGGTTGTAACTCTCTTTACGATTTGAATTTTTGAATGAAATTAATTTCATTGGAAATTTGACTGAAAATACTTGAAATTTGACTCAAGAATGAACCCATTTGGATTTGAAATGAGAAAGTTATAACCATTCAAAGTCTGAATTAAAAAGAAGAGACAAGCAGTAAGGGAGCCGGCTCCCATTTGGATGGAGCCGCCTCCTTTCTGTGAAAGGAGCCGCCTCCACTTACTCCAAAGGAGCATGTTCCACCTAGGGGTGCATAAAATAACCGGAACTAGAACCGTGAGAACCAGAACCGTTTTTACCGGTTCTGACGGTTTTGGTTCCGGTCTCAGTTCCAAATTTAGGAACCGTTGACATATGGTTCTGGTTCCAGCCCGTGGGAACCGGTAAGAACCGGAACCGTATATATATTATATTATATTATATTATATATATATATATATATATGTATTATATAATATTTAATTTTATACTTAAAAAAAGAAGGAAAGATAAGTCGCTGGAGCCTGGACCTTACGCGTGAAAAAAAACCTATTAGTTTTTTGCCCTAAATCTCTTACGCTCATTGCTCTCAGTCCTCGCCTCCTCCCAATCTCTTATCTTAGGGTTTGACGAAGTGACGAACCCTAAGCTAACCCTCGCCTACTCTGAAGTCTGACCTCTCATTGCTCTTGCCTGAGTTGCCTCCTCCCATCTCCTCAGTCCTCATCGCCCTCGCCTCTTCTCAAGTCTCATCTGAAGCTTTCTCGTCGATTTAGTCCTCATCGCCCTCGCCATCTCAAATTTCATCATTAATCGTCTCCGATCTCAGATTACTTGGTAAGTCCTTGATTGATCTGTCACTCCTATCTCAGATTTCTCATCAATCATTCATAATTTCATCCTCACTCCCATCTCAGATTTCGAGTCAAGTGAATCCTCCAAACTTCTAAGACAGTGACACGGTCACACGGCTTCTTCGATCTACACCCACCCACCATCTCAAATTTTCTGTATTTTGTATTTATTTATATTTATATTTTTGATAATATATTAAGTATTTTGTTATTACTATACTATTTGTAGTGATGATGGTTTGAACATTGCAATTGTTTCGTCTAAGCAATGAACCTGTGTTGTCTTAATACAAGTACTGTTTGGTTCACTAATTATGTTTATCAAAATTCTCTCATTTGTTTGAAGGGAAGTTTATTGGGTTAATGTAACGACTCAATCCACCACATGGTATGATATTGTCTGCTTTGGGCCTGAGTCCGCATAGTTTTGCTCTTGGGCTTTACCCCAAAAGGCCTCATACCAATTGGAAATGACACACTTACATATAAGCACTTCACCTTTCCCTCTCCCAGGCGATGTGGGATTGTGTACTCGTAGCTTGTCAGTGTGGTAGCCTGTCGGTGTCTCTCGCACCCGCTCACGACACACCCGCCCACAGGGTCATCACAATCCACCCCCCTTGGAGGTCCGACGTCCCCGTCGGCACACTTCCGGCTGGGTCAGGCTCTGATATCATTTGTAATGACCCACTTCACCACATGGTATGATATTGTCCGCTTTGGGCCTGAGCCCGCACGATTTTACTCTTGAGTTTTACCCCAAAAGGCCTCATACCAATTGGAGTGACACACTTACATATAAATACTTCAACTTTCTTTTACCCAGGCGATGTGGGACTGTTGCACCTTAGCTTGCCAGTGTGGTAGCCTGACAGTGTCTCTCACCCACCCACGGCACACCCACTCACAAGATCATCACAGTTAAGGAGTTTAAATTTCAGATACTGTGCTTTGAATCAGACACTAAGATTGTTGTTGATTCCTTGGCCGGGATGTGTATGTGCCCCATCGAAATTGCTTTATTAATTTATGGCATTCAGTCAATGTTGCAATTCCTGTCATGGTACTCGGTGAATTATGCTAAAGGTTTTCATGGAATCGAACCGGTTCTACGGTTCGATTCCGTACTATACTGTTCCAGTTCCGGTTCCATTTTCAAGGAACCGTGGTGAATGGGTTCTAGTTCCGGTTCCGACCGAACCGTGAGAACCGGAACCGTGTGCACCCTTAGCTCCACCCCAAAGGAGCATGCTCCATTCCAAAGAAGCAGGCTCCACTCCAATTTTTTTCGATGAAATAAGGCTACTAGAGCCGACTCCCAATAGGAAAGAGTCGACTCCCAACCTGGGAGGTCTGAAATCTGCTACCCCAAATGCATTTCTAAGCTGTAAATTCAATCATCTCAACCCTAACATACATGAATGATAAAATAACAACTTGACAAACTAA